TGGCTGATGAGAAAAATGGGTGGGAAATGGATGGATGCTTGCTTGCTCACGTTTTTCTATCAGGTAAATGGTAAATGAGTTTGGGAAAAATGTTGATTGATATGGTGGGTGGGGATATGAGTTTTTGAATTGGAAATTTGAAACCAAAAGGTAGGGTCAGTCAAGTAAATTTTCTTGAAAATTCTGAGGGAGGGAAGAAGGGAGTGTGCTGGGAAAACGGGGACTTGTCTCATTTTATCAGACTTGATGGAATCATGGAGCCAGTGGCAACATAAATTCTAAAATCACTCGATGTGAAAAACAAATTAAATATTGGTCCCAGAAGAAAATACTTGTACGGAAAACATATCTGAAAAGGTACGGTCATAGAAATTAGAGATGGAATTATTGGAATTTGGAATGAAACAAGAGAGAGGCCTTCGACAGTAGTTATGTGAAACAAAATATGAGCTCCTTACTTCATTTTTACTTTACAGCGGACACTCATCTGAGATTTTGTGACGGCCCCTCGGACCATAGGGTGCAAGAGTGTGCTTTTAAACATGTATATATGTATGACCTATAATAAAGAGTTCCATCATAGACCAAGCTCTTTAACCACAGAAATAATCTAAGACTGGATTAATAGGGTAGACGGTGATATGCAGCATATTAGTAAATCTACTATACTTCTTACATGCGAAACAGGCCTCCGAGTCTCCGACTACCTATAAAAGTATTGAAAAGAATTTTCATTGTCAATACCCTAAAGACAAATTAAAAGATTCATAAACGAAAACCATTATAGTATAATGTAAAATACCTATTGGTAGTGCAAACGTCATCGACCCGATTGAACGTCCTTCGATCTGTCCTTAAACTAGTAAAATGACCTGCGAAACAGCACTGGGGGTTGTCTCGGTGTAGAAGCTCCGACACTCAAGTTAGTATTTGAGGAACAATGTTTGTCCCATTTTTGTTGCGTTTTTTCTTCTTATTTTTTATTTCTTTTTCCCCCGTTTTAGGTATTTTTGTGAGTTTCTATTCGTTTTTATAATTTATTATGTGTCTTTTTCCATTTTGGTTTTCTATGTATTTCTCGAGTATTTCTCCGGTTGTTCTCGTCTTTGGTGTGCAGGTTGGAGATTTGTGAGGATCTATGTTCCATGATTAATGAGCCGGGTGAACATCATTAAAGAGAGCGTTTCGTTGGCATCACACAGGAGAAAACGGAATCAAATTCTGAATCCAAACAAGCGTAAACGAACCCGAAACGCGAGGTCGTGCATGGAAGTCACCAACCCCAGGACACCCCCGCGCTGCTGCAGCTTCACTGCGCCGCGACAGGGCTCTCCTCCGCGCCGTGAAGATTCCACGAGACCGACTGAGGCTGCATCTTCTAGTACCACGCCCGCAAGAGCCCCGCGCNCCACGCCGCGATGCGACCGCCTGCCGCGCCGCGCCTAAGCCTCCCACGCCGTGACGCCGTGCTCGATATAAATATGAGATCGGGGGATCGCGACAGGGGGAGCTAGACTCCAGAACATAAAAACCATACCCTCTCTTCTCTTCTCTCGTACTTTTCACTTTTCTTTCATCTTTTTCATCTTAAAACACAAATTGTTCGTGGATTTGAGTGAGATTTTCTTCATTGCTTTGGATTTAAGTTTGTTTATCATATTCAACCAAGATTTCATCATTAGTAAGATTTTCTTTTCATTTAATCTATGAATATGTTTGTCTTGATTGTTGAGATTGTTGATGTTGAATCGATTATGATTGGCTAAATCTATATGCTAGGGATAGGGGATTGATATTTTGATTTTGATTGCGATTGTGGGTGTTCGTTGATTGTTCTTTTCATGCGGGTTGATCTTTTTAAAGGGTTTTTCAATTGTCAGGCTTGAGTATGGATGATTGTTGAAGGGTGACACTTCAACGTACAATTGTTTCAATTGAATTTGATTTGTTCGTGCTTGAAATTGATGAATCTATTTGATTAGTCGGTTAACCACCCTCTAGTCTACTTTAATCGACTCTTAGAACCGACAGGGGAGGAGTCAGTCGAAATAGGCTTGTATGAACTAGGCTTGTTCGTAACTATATTGCCTAAGAGTTAAATGAATTGTTAATTTGCCGTTCTAGTATGTTCTCTTGTTACGAAAAGTTATTGAGAATGAGTACTTGAACGTGTCGATTATTCAAATCACTTAGCTGAACAATCACTTGTCCATTAATTACAATTCGAACCAAAACGGATCTCCCCGACTTCCTAGCTTCTCAAATCCTAATTGTTCTTCCTTACTTGTTTTTTCTTATTTATTGTTTAATTTGAATTTTCGCAGTAGTTGATAATTAAACCAAAACCAATCTTCGATTTAGAATGTTTAGGAATTTTATTTCTTTTATTAGTGCTTAAATAGATGTACAGAATATTCCGGCTAACCTTCCTCGTGAGACACGACCCGGTGTTCGAATATTTCGATTCTACTCCGGAAAAATATTTACAACAAAATTGTCGCCGTCGCCGGGGAAGGTTTAGGAATTATCTTGTGCGCTTATTCCCTTTGTTTCTGTGTTTCTTTTGTTTCTTTTTCTCTGTTTAGTGTTAGTTTTTTCTTTGTTTCTGTTTTAATTTTATTTTCTTTCATCTATCATTAGTGCTTGTAACCCGTTGTTTGTTTGAGTGTATGCGTACCAGGAGTGGACGTAAACTATATTGCCTAAGAGTTAAATGAATTGTTAATTTGCCGTTCTAGTATGTTCTCTTGTTACGAAAAGTTATTGAGAATGAGTACTTGAACGTGTCGATTATTCAAATCACTTAGCTGAACAATCACTTGTCCATTAATTACAATTCGAACCAAAACGGATCTCCCCGACTTCCTAGCTTCTCAAATCCTAATTGTTCTTCCTTACTTGTTTTTTCTTATTTATTGTTTAATTTGAATTTTCGCAGTAGTTGATAATTAAACCAAAACCAATCTTCGATTTAGAATGTTTAGGAATTTTATTTCTTTTATTAGTGCTTAAATAGACGTACAGAATATTCCGGCTAACCTTCCTCGTGAGACACGACCCGGTGTTCGAATATTTCGATTCTACTCCGGAAAAATATTTACAACAAAATTGTCGCCGTCGCCGGGGAAGGTTTAGGAATTATCTTGTGCGCTTATTCCCTTTGTTTCTGTGTTTCTTTTGTTTCTTTTTCTCTGTTTAGTGTTAGTTTTTTCTTTGTTTCTGTTTTAATTTTATTTTCTTTCATCTATCATTAGTGCTTGTAACCCGTTGTTTGTTTGAGTGTATGCGTACCAGGAGTGGACGTAAACTATCTCCAATCAACAAACCCTTCAACGAGAGCCTGAGAGAGCTGCTAGACGAGCTTACTCTCGAATCACGCGAAGAAGGCGAGCATTCACCAGAACCATCCGAGGGAAGCAACTCGGACATGGCTGAACAACAACAACCTCCTCGCAATCTCCTTCGAAACCTGGCCCAACCAGTGATCGGGCCAATCACTTCCTGTCCGGCTGGGGCAAGACGCCCGAAACTATGAGCTGAAGAGGGTCCACTACAATCAGCTCCTATCATTCCACGGGCTCCCCAACGAAGACCCACTCTACTTTCTTCGGGAGTTTTACAACGTCCTCCAGACGTTCCCTTTGCATGGGCTAACCGAAGACCAGCTGAAGATGCGGTGCTTCCCGGAGACTCTGAAAGATCGAGCCAAGGCGTGGTTCATGAACCTCGCCCCGGATTCTCTAACAACTTGGGCCGAAACCTACTCGAAATATGTCGGGAAGTATTATTCCCATCAGAAGACCCAAGACATCCGGTCCCAGATAGTCTCTTTTGCTCAACTGCCAAACGAACCTCTTCACGAGGCTTGGGAACATTTCGAAGACCTCCAGAGGCAGTGCCCCCACCACAACCTCGCTCCAGGGCTATTAGCGAATTGCTTCTACGACTCCCTCCACCAGAACTTGCAGTATATGGTGGACAACGCAGCCGGAGGGGATATTGGGGGCAAAACAGCTGAAGAAATGATTGCGATCTACGAGACGATGAGTGCCAACTCGTCTCAAAAAAGTATCAGAGGGAAGAGGTCCACAGTGAACGAGGTCGGACCAGGAAATAATGTCATGGCCCAGCAGTTAGCCGAGCTCACGGAGCAGATGCAGCTAATGAATGCTTGAAGTTCCTCTCCGATTCAGACTATGGCTGTGAATGTTTGCGGCGCATGTGGAATGCAAGGACACAGTTCGGAAGTGTGCCCGTCGGTTGTCGAACCGAGCTACGGAGGCCAGAATACTGAGGTAAACGCATTGCAGGGTTATCAGAACCGGCCAGGAAACGACCCCTATTTGAATACATACAAGCCGGGGTGGCGAAACCACCCTCACTTCTCATGGGCGAATAATCACAATCAACAGCCACCTCAAACCAACTTTTTCCCCCAGCAGCAGCAACCCAGAGGAACGTTAAGGCTTCCAGCACCAGCCCAGGGAGCCGAACAGAGTCTGCCGAACTTAGATGAAAAGCTAGATAAGATCCTTCAGTTTTTGGCCAACAACGAAAAACGAACCATGAACAATGAAGCCTCCATTAAGCGCCTTGAGATGCAAGTAGGGCAATTGGCTACACGTGTTGGAGGTATCGAGACCGAACTGAGTAAGGATAAATTGCCAAGTCAGCCGGAGCATGTGAATGCAGTTACAGTGCTGATGCCCGAGCCAGAGAAGAAGGCAGATGCCCAAGTGGAGAAAGAGGGGAATGAGGGTTCGAGGAAGCAAGAGCTGAAAGAAGAGCCCCCAGTGACACCACCACCCGAGCCTACCCTACGCAAATCCCAGAATCCCTACAGGCTGATGATCCCTTTTCCAGGACGATTCTTGGAAGAGAAGGACCGTCGGATGATTCGAGACCTTCATGCAATGTTGGTTAAAGCCAACAATGACCTATCTCCTCCAGATGTGATGAAAAAGATATCAACATATGCAAGATTTTTCAAAGAGGTAGCGGCGAATAAGCAGAGGCTCGAAGGGAGTGAAGAGGTGCTCGTATTCGAAGCGGTAAGTGTCTTCCAGCACAACTTGCCGAAGAAAGAAAAAGACCCTGGAGGCTTTGTGATCACTATGGCTTTCGGGAATGGGGAAGAGACCTCGGGCATGCTTGATTTAGGAGCAGGCATAAACCTCATGCCACTTGCAATTTATCACCAGCTCGAGCTTAGAGACTTGAAGCCCACCAAGATGCGACTACAGCTGGCTGATCGCTCGTTCTGCCAACCAACAGGGATTGTAGAGGATGTGCTCGTCCGAGTGGAAAGTTGATAGTCCCCGTGGACTTCGTCGTACTCGATATGGGGAACGTCCAAGAAAATGGGAAGCAGCACACCATCCTCCTTGGGAGACCCTTCATGGCTACTACCGGCACAGTTATTGATGTAAAGAAAGGGACTGCGAGCATGACTGTGTTGGGGGAATCCACCCAAATTTCCGCCCGAGAGTTGCAGCCTGAGCTGAAGGTGAAGCTGGTGGAAGAGTGCGCTTACCTCTGGGCGAT